ACAGCTCCATTTTTTAAAATCTAAGTGTATCAAGCAGTACTTTCTGCAGTCTGAATACCATCTGCTCGAATAAAATTAAGCCAGGTGTGGTGAAATATAGAGAAACAAACGTAGCATGGATTATATTCTGGTAACATCGTATTATTCCCAAATGTAGACTCCTTGCAAGCACTTGAATCTCCCATGTTCTTGTCCATATGGTTCACTTCACATTATTATGGTGTACAGATGTCACTCCTTCAGATTAAGGAAAGTCACACTGCTGTCCTTACTTTGTATAGAAAAGCACCGTCTTTCAAAATGCCAAATTAGTATGAAAAACACGAAAAACGGGCACCTCCAGTTTTGCTTAGCTCTTCTTGGAAGAAAACAAATCAGAGACCTCTCAACCTCAATGTAAGCCAGGATTTTAGTATCTGTCATTCGAACCCAATGAGAATAATTTTTCATGGGCTGTAGCTTTCGCTGTAACAGGCTAACTTTTTTGGTTTGTTTTGTTTTCCATGGGACATATTTGCTCTCACTCTGTTTCCACGGATGTTTTGAGTAGTACCCAAGTGGAAAATAGAATTAACATGTTGAGTAAGCTTTATTCTTCTTTAATTTGTTATTGCTGTCATTAAGAGTCATTTATTTTACTTTGCTAATCATCACAGGAACAGCAATAGGAATGTTATAAATCTGCAAGTTGAATGTGGACTTTTTTTTTCCCCCTCAGTTGGACAAGTCTTGTTCTAGAGTCCAGGCATTAAGTGAATCTGGAAGCATGAGTAGGTGATCAAAGAAAAAGAGCAACACTCTTGCCCTTCAGAAGGAATAAAAGTTCATTTCTGTTATAGAAGTGGCCAAGGAGATCCAGATTCAGTACGGGTTAATACACATCAGGGAACAGAATGTAGAAACATAGGGAGAAAACAAGCTTTTGATATATTTCTAAAAATCCTATTAGAGACTCCAGGACTTGGAGCTTCCATGCATATTTTAATCTTTTTTGGTTACCCCTTGATAGGTAGAACCAGATTACTTTTATAGCTCAACTGGGCAAATGTTTAAACACACTACAGAAGGGGGGAAAAAAAAGGCCAAAAGTCACGGACTTTGGGCAGAGACCTTCACATCGTATAGTTACACAATCTGAAATATTTCCTGGAAAAAGATGACACTAGTGGATTAGATGTGTACTTTCTGCTGTGCTTTCAATATTCCTCACTATTTTCACCCATAGTTACTCATACCAAAATAGGATTTTGTCAAGTGATTTCCCATTCCATAAAGTAAGTACAATTGTAGAACACTATAGATAACAGGATAACTTTCTTCCAGGTCTATAGCTATCAATCTGCTATCCTTAATGACCCACAGCATTTTTGAGTTAATAGCTTACAAACTAATCATCAAGCATCATTAATGATGATTTTCTCAAGTATCTTGCTTAAAAATATCAAGCCATTCTCTAGAGATGTTAAAACATACCAATTACATTTAATAACTGACAAAAGCACTAGCCAGCAGCGGATTTGACAACACATTAAGCAGCGTAAGGAGACATTGAGCTAAGTGAGAGCCTTCAGAGAAGAGAAATAAGGAAATACCTGGCACAAAGAATTCAAAACAACCTCAAAAAAAAAAAGACAGAATGAAGGCCAGGAAAAACAGAGAGATATGCACTGAAAGTGAGGCAGTAGCAAACATCTGCATGTTGTGTCAGACAAGAAATGCATGAGGAGCAATGGGTGGTATGAACGGGGCAGCAGCCAAGCACAGGTGGGGTTTGCTCCAGGACACCGGAGTGTGCGGGAAGGAGGAGAGACAGCATGGGAGGAAAAAAAGACCTCAGGGAACAGGAGCCAGGTAAGCAAGTGCCAGGCGTGAACTTCAGGGATAACCCACGGGACACGCGGAGCTCATATTCCTTAGCTGGGAAGAGATTTTGTCCTGCTAGGACAAACAGGAGACACTATTAAGACAGAGAAAGCAGCCGTGTAAGCCAGTGAAAAGGATTGTGTCAGCTGGTCTAAAAGGCGAGTACTGGTAGGAGACACAAAAATCACATTTCGCCTCCTTGCGATACAAACACACTCGCACGAGACTCACCATGGTCTAGGAAGCGCTATTCCGCTTCCCGAGCATCTTCCACCTCTCCCCACCCCTTGTCCAGGCTTGGCAAGCGGCATTTCTGGTTTGTTTTTTGTTGTGGATGTTTTTCTTACCTCCTCATATCTGGATTTATTGAATTCAAATATCAAAAACATTGATATCAAAAATATCAATGCCGCTCTGCTGAAGCACAGCCATTGATCATTGATCTTCTCTCTCTATCCAGAGGGATTCCTAGCCAGGCTTAATTGCTTCTCTTGGTTTCATGCATATATATGTTAATTGCGTTAGTCCATCATCCAGGCTTCCCTTTCTCCTTGTTACATCTCCTGCTTGTTCTCTCCTGCAAATATAAGCATCTATCACATCCCTTATTCTTGTTTCACTGTCTTTACTATAGCTAGAATTTCCCCTCTTCTTTTACAGGTTTTCTACCATTTCTTCATTAATCCTCCTCTGTTCTGCAAGCTCTGTATGTGCCTTACACTGCTTTCCTTGCCCGTTCATCTTCCTGCTTTCTCCTTTTCAACTTTGAACCTATATAAGCACCCGAAGCAGATTTAACAAAAACCAGGCTGGGAGGGACCTCAAGAGATCATCTACTTCAACAATCCTATCTTCAAATATGCTCAGCTATGCTCAAGACACATGGGGCTCTCAGGAAATACGTATCAGGTAGCTAGACTCAGGATGCAGATGCTCCAGCTCACTGTAGTAGTGAGATCAGCCCTGCAAACGTGAGAATATCACCATTCCTCTTAGCCTGTCCTCATATTTCTGCAGTGTTTTCCTGCCAAGGGTGAAATTAGCAGCCCTCCTACCAGCCCGCACATATACTAATAACCACGTCACAAACTGCATTAATCACATTACTCACATCTTATCTGCAAGGTCCATTTCTATACAAACAGTTTGAGTTTCAGATAACCAGGTTTGATCATTTTACCAGCCCAAGTTAATCAACATAATGTGGAATGGAAGACACAACACTAAGCCAGGAAAACAAAGTCAGGGACTTGTACATCAACTGCATGGCTGTAGAGCCTTGTCAGGTACTGCTACGAACTAAACCTTGCATCTTTGGTATTTTAATGCAGTCACCTCATTTGCTATTGCTTATTCACAACAGAGTTTACCCTGAAAACCAAATTCTGAAAATACACAGAATTATCAACGGTGAGGCCTCCTGCATAAAACCGGAGCACTTACATCCCTCAATCCATACTCGGAGTTAGATGAACACAGCAGCCAGCGTGTCAATATGGGTCTGGATCCTTCCAACATTTCAGCAGTCGCTCGGACCATCAAAACGAGTGAAGCAGGTGAAGTGCTCAGCACCAGAACGTTCCTACCGTGCAGTCCATGTGAACCAGACCCATGAATATCTAGATGGTGATCAGGACGCTTAAAGGTCTAATGCTCATTCAAGGCCATTCACATGGGAAAGGCTGCCCCTCCATCCAGCAGAAAGGCCAACAAATTATCTGGATGCGAATTAGTAAGTGACATCATTCCACAAGGGGTGACACAAGCTGAAACACAAACCTGTGGGTTGGTTTACAGCTGAAAACATAGTGCCACATTAAAGGCAAGTTTCACCTTTCAAAATACAAGTTTCTACTCCTCTGCCAAACTCTGAAGACAGGCAAAAAAAAGTACAGTACTAGTAACCTCTCGTTACAGGCAGAAGAACAAAGCATTTCATGCCATGGTACAATATATAGTTATGCAAACTTCCTTGAGCAGATTTCAAAGGAAGGAATTACCCTCTCAGGTTTTAGTCTTTTTTTTTTTTTAAATTATTCCCAATAACATTTTATTTAGCTTTTTTAAATTCCTTGTGCCCCTAATTCAGGAAGTTTTGCAACACTTTCTCTAACAGACTGTATCTAAGTTCTTGTCACCTGTGCTTTCCTCAGGAGGAAAGCAAGGACACGGCTCTGTCCCCGTCCTCCTGCGTCCATCGGCGTGTCACCCTGCCAGGAGACAGCTTCAAAGGCATCTGCAGACAGCCCAGTCCTCTGCAGCTTTCTGGCACAGCAGTCACTCGCGTCCTCCTTGGGAAGGAGCATTAACACGCTGCTTTAGCAAAAGGTCCGAGGTTACTGGCAAATACTCTCTTCTTTGCTTGTTGAAGTGAATTTTGGAACAACTTTCAAAACAAATATATACATAATACAGGCACATCAAGTTCAAAAGGTTACAGATATCAAATTCTATTTGGTTTCATGTGTTTAAAACATCAGGACACACGTGTCAATCCTTGACTGCTTAGAACTAGTGTCTCTAAGGAGGCAAACCAAATCCACTGTTGCAGCAATCACTGCCGTTTCTTAATAGCTTTTTTTTCCCCTCCTCCTAAAATTGCTGAAATACATCCTTGCAACCACTTATTTTCCAACAGGCCAGTACAGTAAAAAAACCACTTAGCCACAAATAAATGAGCCATCACTGGACAGTTGTAAAAATCTTCAGTTAAACAGGAAACAAAACAAAGCAAAAACCCCAGCCAACTACATTATGTAACACAAAAAGATCTTTTATTTAGATGAGTATAACTGAAATGTGATAAAACATTTTAGCTATAAAAATAAAGTCCTTTCTGCTGCAATACTGCAGTCCAAATTCCAAATTCAATTCTGCTAGGACTTTCCAACTACTCAAATTGTCTTGGCACAGATCGAATTTGTTGTCCCTCACTCCGATCCTCTCACCCGCTGCAGCTTCATCTGATCCCAGATGAGCTTTTCCATCCTTCCTCACACACACAGAACACAGCAGAGTCTGGTTTTGCCATCACTCTCTATACCAAAACAAAAAAAACACCCAACCAAGCAGCAACCTCTCAGTCAGAGACTTTTCTTACAGGTATGCACACTCATCCACAAATCCAAGCTTTTACTATCTTTGTATATCTAGAAAAGTATATCAACCATTACTTGAAACCTTTACACCTGCCGTTTCTCAAAGTTACATGCACAGTATTTTCACTGAAGACTGTAGGTCTGTTTTGTGCCCTTCAGTGAGAGGGTTATAAAGAGGGACCGTGGATCCTTTCTGTTCTTGCAGACAGTTATCTTTCCTCTCAAGGCCTCTCCTGCAAGAATAAAAAGGAAATTACTATGTTTACATTACTGAATTATAAACAGTAACAATAAGGGATGCATTCAATCTCCTTATGTTGCATGAGAAATTGCTCCCAGTTAAGTGGAATTAAGCAAGTCTGTGAAGGTGTCTTAGTTTTCCAAGGAGTAACCAATTCTCCTGACAATGAACTTCTGTCATTGTGGTTCAACCTGGCGAGGTGCTCAGCGAAGTCACAGTGTCACCCCCCCAACTGATCCATCCTGGCATGCTGATTCTACCTGCCATCTGAAAATGATTCAAATTGTGTTCCTTTATTTTCATTTCAGTGCAGCTGTATTATCAGGACTCAAATGATTGATACAATACAATGCCATTTGTAAAGAATTGCTGTAACGGTTTCATGGATAGTTTAAACAGAGACAGATTTGCTGGGTAAAAAGGGACAAGAAAAGGCAGCTTCTCTCCAGTTAGGAAGTTTAACATAGTTTGAACTGATTTTCAGAACTGTATTGCAAAACCAATCAGTCAAATATATCACGATAATCTATAACACTGAGTGTTTTTAAAATTATAAAGACTAAAAGTAAAGCTCGCTTAACAGCAGCGTTAACACTACACAAGTCATTCTATGCATTTGTAGGCCTCACCATTTCAAACATTTTAAAACAAGGCAACAAACACAAATCTAAACAAAACTTTATAAATATTTTCCAGCTGACTTCATAGAATGGAACACCCAGATTTTGTTTATAAAGAAACTTCATGAAGCTAAGCAATCCTTTTCAGCTATTCCTGATGCAACATCCACATGAAATCTGCCTTTCTAAACAGTGTTTTCTGAGGGATGAACCAAGCAACAGCCGCGCAGCCGAGGAACAGAAAGGCCCTTTTGAGCAATTAATCAATGTCACGCAGATATCAAACGAGTGGTGCCGTTCAGCAGCGCCAGGGTCCTAGGAGCTGCCTGCAGGAGGGGCTCAGCTGTGTCACCTTGCTCTTATCATGCTCACATGGACGCGAGCACAGTACGACTGCAGCTTGATTAGGACAAAACTGAATGCATTAAGGCCCGTTCCAGCTTTTTTGCTATGCCTTGGTGAGTCTGCAAGTTTGCTCCCCTCCTCGCCCAGATAACGGGAATAACGGAGCACAACCGCTGCACAAACCTGCCAGCGCAAGGAGCAGCGCCGTGCCACTTCGCGTGCTGCCCCACTGACAGGGGGTTCTGAAACGCCTGCAGAATTATTTCAAATAGCAGATTTCAGAAGATACACCATAAACAGGGGACATTTAGTCCTACCTCAAAATTTAGATTTTAACAGTTATAAATTTGTAAAGGGAGTATATTTCGAGACATCGCTCAGCAGTAAGCAAGCAGCAGTGTTACCGAGACACCAAGCTGCAACCGCAGACATGCTCAACAGACATTAAAATCTCATCTGCAAATTAAATTCCCCAAGTGAGATGCACAGTGGAGCAGTATTACAACATACGATCAAAACAGACTAATTGTACCACTGTTTTTTCCCAATTCTAACAAAACTCACTAGGTGGACAAATGACCATTTTGCAGGTTTTAAGCTATCCAGTTTAGCATGCCTGGTTATGGGAACTGGGGAGCTGAGGACGACCAAGGCTTTCACAGGAGCTCGGCCGTACGAGCGCTGCTTCAGTTCTGCAACGCTAGAGCGCTTCAGCCCCAAGGAAAACAAATTAAAGCTTTATTTCCACAGCAAGGCAAATAATCACAAACACAAAACGCTGACTATATGCTGTTTTATTGCTGATAGCATTTGCTTGCACACAGATTTGGGTTTTAGCTTGACGCACTTTTACTGAACAGATTCTGTGTGGGGCCTTTAACATTATTTTGTTATCATTACACTCATTGGGTAAATTCTTGAGCCTGAACAGCTGAGCAGATACTCTGTTCCTGATTTGCTTTTTGTGAAGTTTAGCAGGCATACTATCACAAAACAGCAATAGCAAAAGGTTTATGTTTGAGCCATTAATAAAGAAAACGATAGCACCCTGGCATCTCAGTTTCAATTTCCAAAATAAAGGCATTTTCAGGTTATTGCAAGGGCTGCCAAGTAAAGCCTTGTACTCTGCAGGATGTCCGCAACACACTACTCTTCTGCCTAGGATAAACCAGTTTTGCAGACAATAACACATCACCTGGCTTCCTCCTCTAGTGTTTTTAGTTCTCCTGCATTGCTAAGTGTTGTTGATGCTGTTGTTTTATTTCACTTTATAACAGTTTCCAGTCTGGGCTCACAACCTGTGAGGAGAACTTGCCTTTCAGAATATATTAGAAGATTGCTTTCCAGAGACATGGTAGATCTAAACCTAACCAACAGAAATTATTCACTGTCATACCATGCAAAGTTGTCTATCACAGACACGTATCGAGTTGGAATCCAGCAGCAAATCAAAAATATTAACAAGGCTTAACTTACTCTATTTCAGAAAATAAATATATCTTCCTTTACAACAAATAATCTGGCACCAAACAACTGAAAACATTTCTTAGTTCACAAAACAGAGCAAAATAATTTTGACATGGCTTAAAGCTGCCTTTTTCTGTTGTATAGGCCCACAGGTACAGATGCTTTCACTAGCTTTATAAGCAAGTTAGGCAGATCCCCAAGAGCTATAAAACAACCGGTAGAAACTTGAAATTTAAAGTCAGTTTTATCGTTGTACCCTGAAGGAATCATTTTTTTTTCAGTGGAAAAAACTATCCGAAAGACACATTTTCAAAGCAGAAAAATATTTATTCTACTTTTTATATCACAGCCTGTAAATATACAGCAAGTAAATGCCATCATGGATACACTAGTCAGTGTTGAGGCCAAATACCTAAATGGGCAACTCTGTCATGAAACTGGCTTCGAATACTAAGCAAAATTTAAAGTTGGAGCCAGTAGTACGCTCTTTATGTCACTTCTCCTCTTCTGCTTTCCTTAACTGCTTTAATTATGACACTAGGCTAGCTTAAAATCAGATTTGTACCAGACTCAGGTGGTTTAAGTGTCAAAACACACTGTTTTCCATTTATTTTCTTGCGTTTAGCAGTGAAAGAATTTCTTCTGCTTCAAATACTACATTTGGTCATACCTCACTGTTGGTTTTTTCTTTCCTTTTTTTGCCTCTTCCAATACCACATAAACATTTCATATTCAAAGAGCTTACGCAAAAGGCCAGTTGAATATGGATAAGCACAGGAATAAAGAATGAAGTCACCAACTGATGCAAATGTGTTTAAATTAATAAAGTTACTCTTTTCTTCAGTTAACTTCCATCAAGAGAAGACCTTTCGGAAAAAAATCAAAATCCAAGTTCTTAAAGTGCAGTTCAGTTCATTGTGCCAGGGCAGAAATAGTGCAAAGCAAAATGGTAACATACAGTACTGATTTTTATTAAAGTCAAAGATAGAAATAGCTGCAAGTGCAACTTTAGATATGCGGCAGGAGCTGTTGGAGCAGCTTGTTTAGCTGCTAAATTGGAAGTTAAAAACTGGAGAAATCAAACAGCTGCAGGTTACTATGATAATTAAGTGATTACTTTGAAAGAAAAATGAAAAAAGTTAAAGTTGAGATGTAGAGATAGGGTTACTTCTAGTAATATGGTTTGAGGGGAACAGAATATTTTTTTTGAGCAATGAAGAACCAAAGTCAGAGAGAACAGTTCAAAACCAAACCAAAACACCCACAAAACCCGAAATAAAACAAACCCTCCTGTTTCAGTATCGGGACACAACTTCCTCCCTGGCGGGCTTGCACCCCCCAGAACTCATCATTAGGATTACCCAGAAAAAGCCTCAGGACTTTTCTCAGAACCTTCTTTTGTGCTAAAATGATAGGTAGTACCATGATCAACAGTAAAGTGGTAGTATCCTGAAGTGGCAATTTCATAGAAGATATAAATAGACCGAATGGGCAAAAGGATGGAAAAAAGCAACTTAAACAATCAGGAAGAAAAGGAGCCAAGCAGAAAATAAAGAAATAATAATAATAGTAAAAAAAGCATAGCATCAAGAAAGGGAAAAATTGTAATAAATAGCAGCTAATACAGCGAAAGGAAGGAGTTACGGTCAGAGTGACCTTGAAGTCATCTCAGTGGGGTTCCCTGCCCAGAGCAGGGCAGGCTGCAGCTCTGGGGCCCCGCACACCTCCCATCCGGACATTTGCTAAATGTCAAATGAATATTAAATAACGGGCACATTCTAACAAATGCCACTGCACTTGAAAAAACTTGCTTCGTACTCTATGACACTGAAATTGAATGAGCTGCAACAAGGAGACCTTAGCCAGCCTCATCTAGAGAGAGCAACTGGCCAGGACAAATCCAGCCCAAGGGCCCTAACGTTCAGGGGTAGCCCATGTGGCCACATGGTATAAGAACAAATAAGAATGACTCAAGAACGTAACCAGCGTGTCCTTGTGAAGTCAAAGCATGAAAAAGGGAGATCCTATTTGTGAAATACCACAGACAACAGTGCCTCTAGGAAAGAAGGCCTTGGCTCAACGCCATCGTGGCACCTACCAGCGCAGCGTAACTGGGGCCCAGACACTAGCACCACCACCACACGCTGGTCACTAGGGCTGTCAACAGCACACGGTGTCCTGCTGCCTCAACACTTCATCTCACCTCCAAACCTCTTCACCTCATGGGCTTTAGTCGACTGTCCCCACCACGTCTGCTCTATTTACACAAACTCTTCAGGAAGAGGGCATCTATTACTGTGCATTTATTAAGTGACAAGCAGAGTGGAGCCTCACTCCCAGTTGGTTCTTAGGTCCTACTAATTTGCCAAAAAAAAAAAAAAAACCCAACAACTTGTCATGCACGATAAAGTATTCCTAATTCACATGTTGGTAGGAGTTCAACAAGAGTGAGTTAATATTTAGTGAACCATCCTAGCCCATGAACAAGGAAGCAAACCGTCCTTCCTACAACATAAAATATCCTCTTAAAAGTTCCTTAGCTTTAACTGGTCTTGAAAGTAGTATGATACAGCCAGATAGATAAAGTGTAGCTCTACAGAAATAAAAGGCCAAGACTTACAATTCCCATCCTGCTGTTAACATCCTGTTGCATGACCACCCTCTCTAATCTTGTGTCCATTAAGCAGGCAATATTTGACTACTTGCACAGAAATCCATTTGCAAGACTTATCAAGCAAAGGTAGCTGAAACTACTAGCAAATACCACTCCGCTTGCAAATTCTTTGAAATTATTTCTTATTTACTGAATGAGCCTACAGCATTAAAATCAAATCCAACATCCAAATAGGCATTCATGCTTGATATGACAAACATAAGGCTTTTGTGCCACATCTAAGCTATGTTATGCAATCGCTAGACCAATATAACACTTGAGAATGTGATTAACGTTAAAACAAAAAGGGTTCACAGCATCTTCTTGCCTCAGAAAGAAATATGTTAAAACACAAGTCTTCTCAGCAAATTACAGTATGGAGCTATGTAAGTACATATGTATGCCTCCTTACTTGCCTATAAGTACACAGAGGTTTATGAATACTTTCCAGAAACCTTTTACAGAATACAAATGGGTATTTTCTCGTGCCCTGCTTAGACCAAAAAAAAAAAAAAGGTAGTTTGAGGATTTATTTAGTAACCACTTTAACATATAGATAACTCAAACATTTAAATGTCAAATTTAATGGCAAGAGCAACACAGGACATCTAATGCTGTGCCACAACTTAATTGAAATATACCTGTTTCTACAGGAATTGGTTTCTCCAAGAGAAAAACTGTTTGTTTCCAGTGTGTTTTGGTACAAAATGGACTAGTCGAAAACAGGACCTGCATTGGAAGAGTTCAAGAGTTTGATTAAGAACAACATTCTTAATACTACATTACATTAATTAATTACCAAATAGACATGAAGCTCTTGCAATGGCAAAACAGACTCGCTGCTGAAAATCGAGGCAGAAAAACCAACCCCCCAAATGAATAGAGATAGCTTTCAAAGCCATTTTTAACATGCACAGCCCAAAATACTCACCTTGTTGTAACAGTTCTTCTCAAAATATATATCAAAATAACCAGCAATTGCCTATAGTGAAAAGGAAAACAGAAATATGATAAATAACAGTGACACGCAAGAAAAAGCCCATTATGAGTACAGTTACTGAGACTTCTTTTCCTTTTTAAGCCTTTACTTATTGGAATGTGCTTTGATCTGTGTTCTTAAGTATGCTAGAAAACATTTAAAAAAAAGAAAAAAAAATAGACTTTGCCCTACTCAAAAAAAGCAGTACTTTCAGAAAAATATTTAGTCTGCTATATCTTTGTTATATTACTAAATCTATGAAACCAGCTATTTTGAGCAGTTACAAAGAACAAGTTCTGTAGCACATTTTTCATGTTGACAGATTGTGAGAACAAAAATGTTAAATAAGCTTATAAGATTACAACATCTGAATGGCACGTGGCTTTATCAGGGGGTATTATGTAGTACGGTGCTGGTATTTTTTTCATGCTAGTCTAAAACCTGAACTGGCAACATGATCCTGAACACGGTGCCCTAGAGGAAATCAGTCTGTGTTAGTTTTTCCTACCTGTGTTATTTTCAACTCCTGGCATGCTAGAGAGGCCTGGAAAGCTCCAGCTTCCAGCAGGGTGCAAAATATTCTTCAGAAAATGAGGAACAGGCACTCGGACACACTATGGATCTTCATGAGGGGCGAGCACCACATGCTGCAACAGCAGCTCCTGCATCCCTGAAGCAAGGCCCATCCCGCAATGCTGAGAATCCCATTCCCAAGCGAATTACAGCCTTGCCTCTGATACACCTTTTGCAGTTAAGATTGAGAAGGTTTTGACAGAGTTTTATTGACCCATCAGACTAGTTTTATCGATCTTTTCTGGACACTAGTCAGAGATCTAAGTCACAAAAACACTTTCCAGTCAGCAGGTCAATACTGTTGATTTGCTTGCAAGTAAGACTTAGGATATGATTACTGGGGAGAGGGAAGACAAGCTTGAAACACTAAAAATACATTAAGGGTTGAGGGCAAACTGGTTTCCCGAGAAAGCAAGGCAGTCAAACTACATTTTATCCCAGAAAGCTGAATCAGTGCCCCAAACCCCAAGTGCAGACACCATTACGCAAGAGAAAAGGCAAACACAGCCGAAGGGGATGTTCCTAAATATCCAATACTACAAAAAAAGCAAAGTTTTATAGCCCAAGCCCTCCCTTCTTGTCGTAAAATCTAGCGCATACGCTAAGCAGCAAAATAAGAGGGCAGAGGAGACGCCCTACAAGGTCACACTGGAAGCCACCACGCGGACACCAGCATGTCAAGAGGGAACAGAGCTGGTCAGAGCTTTGCTGAAGCAGCAATCTTCATACGCGAATTCAAACTAATGAAAAGGAACAAGCAAACAACCCCCTCCCCGGATCCCAAGATGACGTTTTACTGTCATGGGATGTTTGGTTGTTGGTTTTAAGCATAACACCACTGTTGTTTCTTCTGCTGCCATTTGCTCCTCCGCTGACAGCTCATCCAGAGCTTCGCCCAGGACTGATCCACAGGTATTAGAGCCTTCTCTAGGTGTGTTTTTTTTTTTCCCCCCCCCCAAGTGCTACCCCCTTGAAACTATGAATGACTTGAACAAAAATAACGACTTCTAAACTAGTAATAAATAACAGGAACTCTAGCCCAACACTTGCTCTAACCTCAAAAGTTATATATTATGGAACACTGTAGCAATATTGTTTTCCCTGCTGGTAATAAATAAATTGCCTAGAGAAAAGCAGACTTGCTAGGACAAAATAAAATCCTGTCGTCTCCCAGCCCCGCCAGAAAAAACAACCCCAACACCACCCCAGGACAAATACCTCACACTCACCCAGGGAACTAAGTTTAATTAAAGGAGGAGAAAAATATATTAGGAACAGATTTGTGTTATTCAGATTGCAAAGCAGCATCCTTTAAATGTCAGCAAGAATAAAACACTCCTGAAGTTAAATTGCAGCTTACCTAACTTAAATTCTGGCTCTAGCTGACTTTGTCAAATCCAGGTTTTGATTAACAGTTCATTTAAAATATCCTCAGTATCTATAAAAATATCACGGAGGGTTAGTAGTGTTGCTGCAAACATCAAAAGCTGCAACTGCAGCTCCCCTCTTCCTCAAAAGGATGTGTCTAACTATTTTTCTTCCCTCCTAAATAAATTATATATAAACTACCTGGGGGCTAAATTATTTTCAGTCATTAATGTTATATGTACTAAAAACATTAAGTTCACAAAAAGCTGTAACATGTATGTAATAAGCAAGTATTAGTATGTATTCTTTATTTATAATCTTCCTCTCGGAGGCCTTAGATGACATGGTAAGAAGAAATCAGATTTTAATTCAAATGAATCTGAATACTAAAGCTTTTGCTAAGGAAAATGGCTGTCTGTACATGGAGCATCTTAACAGGACAAAACAAATGAGCCTGCCTGAACCCTTATGAGAACTCGGAGAGGCTAACCTAGTGATTCACTTAGGAATAAGGAAATTAAAAATTATCATCATCACCATCACCCACGGTGGGTCATTCATCATTCCTGCGCTCTGCGAGGATCATGTTCCAACAGCGAGTGGCTACAGCAAATCCAATTAGACAGCTGGCCCCAGAAGTGGGAGGATAATGTGCTTTTGATGGAGTTTATCCAAGCATGGAGATGGAATGCTTGTCATCCATGCACCAGAGGAACGGGGTACTCCCACAGTGGAATAACATTAAAAATTGTTATTAAAAACTAACAATTTTGTTTTTTTAAAAAGAATCACTATATGAAGACTGCTGTAGAGAAGGCTATAAATAACTATAGAGATCAGAAGGGCAAATCCTGCTCTGTAACATGTCTTGCCTTTAAGCAGAAATCTGGTATATTTAACGATACCCAGAGCTGGGTTTCCAGCTTTTATCTAGCAACATTTAGCTTCTCACCTAAAGTTGGAACTAAATACTCACACATTAACAACTAAATTCTGCTCCCAAAGGCAAGGAATAATCAACAGATTAATCTGTTTAGCAAGTAAGAAGATTCTAACAAGCAAAGTTTGGGCTTTTTTTAATGAAAATAATCTTCTCCAGCACAACTCCATTTCTTTTCTCTTACTCAAGATGTTAATACCTCAGTCACGGCCCGTGGTTCATTATCCTTCCCTCACTCCCCTCCTCCCTCCCACGTTTTTATAGACATCCCCTGCTCCTCGACACGTCCTCCTGGGAGCAATGACGGGATTCGGCCGTGTTCCTCCCGTGGGATATTGCTATTCAGCTAGGAAGGACGAACCGCCATGGACTCGCACGGGAAACGCTCGCAAACAAAAGAGAAGATTTGTCAATGGATTTTTACACCGAGGGTAATCACCATTATATTTTATCTCAAAAGCTCACACAGTGATCAATTTAGAATACAGTTAATGGAATATTTTCCTAACAGCATCTACTAACTGATATTAGCCAGATGTCTCATTAAAAGCAGCAGTGACAAATCCCGGTTCTCTCCCAGAAAACGCACTTTTGCAATCTAATTACATTTATTTTTGGCCATTTTCTTCGTAAGACTGAAATCAAGACAACCTGCCTTAAAGTTGCTTTGAGTCAACTTCATATAATGACTCCAGGCAACTGCTTTGCGACTTTAAAATCTTCCATCTTCAGAAGTTATAGTGCTAAATAAAGTAGCTAGATCCTAAAAGATAATACTCAGTGGTGAGACATAGGAGGAAATAGAATTAGCAGAAATACTACTTGCTCTGGGGAAAGGCCTGAAATGCTTTCCTCCAAAAGAAGTTAAAAGTTAAGCAGCACATACAAGATATGTAAGATATGCTTAAATATTTATTTTCATTAATTTTTCCATATTTTTCCAGTTAATTCGGATTTTTTTTTCTTGAAGACTCATCACTTGGCTTGAAAACCTGAAAAGGAAACCATCTAAAGGATTAAACTCATTTTATTTGGAGGATGAGACTGAAAAACACATCACAGGATAATCTGCAATATACGTAGCATGCACTTTTTTTTTTTTAATTCTGAGTAATTTGAATGTATTTACAGGCTAGAGGACAGGCTCACACTCGATACGCTCCAGTTCCTACCGGGGTCCGGGGAACTGCAGTTCCAGCAGTGCTCTCCAGCTCATTGCTAACCGTGGGCACCTCTGTTCCGACTCGCTCCATTTATTTAAAGCCCGGAACAGTTCGGCCCGCTGCCTTGATGGCTTCCACCAAGGCAGCTCCGCTGCAATTAGCTGCCACTAGCACACGAGCTGATAATGAGGTGGGCACTGAGGCCTTCTGAGATCAGGGACAGCGACTGCATGTAGGAAAATATTCCAGCCCTTGCACTACGATTTCTCACGAAGTGGCAGGTTTTATTAAGCCAAAACCCAAATGTGAGCAGTAACGACAAGGCCGCCCAGGCTTTGGCGCTGTTTCTAAGGGAAAAGGTCAGCTGTGGACTGCTCTGCACACCTCAGGAGAGGTGCAGCAGGGTCCAGCGGGCCCGTGGCAGCAGCGGTACCGGCACCAGCACCCTTGAGACTGCCGTCGGCTTCTCCTACTTACGGATGGAGCCCAATTCCTGACGGCAAGACTGCTCTGAACTCGGCTTTCCTTCAACAGCACCATTTGGGAATGGAGGGACGAGTGTCTTTTCACACTGTCTGGGCTGGGAAGTTGTGAACTAAACAAATTGTCATATATTGGCAGATAAAGGTGAGTTTTCCCAATCGCTGTATTTGGGAAAGGCTACTCTTTTTCTAAAAAAACTAAAATATTTTTAAATGTTTATTTTAAAAATGCAAAAATCAGCACAGTCGCATACATCTAAGTTAAGTCTTGGGGAAAGATAAGTAGCTTCTCTCTTTTTGTTAATAAATAAATAACAAAACAAAACAAACACAAAACAACAAAACACAGTAAAAAAAACAGGTGTAACCAAGAAGAAAAACACACCAAATATTTTTTCCAGAGGATGAATTGCAATCTGAGAGCATCTCATCAAAAATTCTCCATATAAATAATGGGCTTT